AACAGCTAGTAAAAAAAGCAAAGAATAGGAGGATAATGAGACTTTTACAATCCCGGCCCCAGGTGATGGGAAATAAAAGATAAATACAAGCAATGTCCATGACTGGAAGCTCAGAAAGGACTACGCTGTGCCTGTGTCAGAACATGAAAACCCCGATTTGCGAGGATAACATGGTCTAATGCTTGAACTTCTGTCAAGATTCAAATTCAGCACAGCATCTAAAAATGAACTATCCACCCAAGGACATAAAGGTTTTGGCGATTTTGGTTCTGGTTTGCAATTCACTGTTCAGAAGCAAAAGAACATTGGCGATTTTATAATTACATTCAGTAATGTGTAATTATATAATATATTTAGTGTATGTATTTGGAAAAAAACATATCACCATATAATTATGTTAATTTTAGAAGACCCTCTAGAAGGCCAGAGCATAGGAGAGCTGTACTAGTCTGTGATAGTACGATTATACTGTAGAATTTATTTTATAATCTTATATATTTCTACTACAGAGAGTTACTGAAAAACACTGGTTTGCTATTGGCTATCTCACCATCTTTTCAGTTCCCTCCTAACCCTTTATTGAAGGCAAAGTCTTACTTGTGAGAGCTCAACTTGCCACTAGATAAATTATGTTGATAATGTGATCCATGTCACCTCACATTAGGTGCTAACACTGATTTTTTCTTTTCCTTTTTTTTTTTTTTAAACAAGTAGGGTGTAAACTTGGTCTACATTATTTCACCCACCTTCAAAATACACATCTTGCTTAGTGAAAGCAGAAAAACAGCTTCTATATTCATGCAACAGGCTTGACTACTATGTCAGTGCTTACGGTCTGGGATCATTTTTGGAACATCTTTTCATTCTGTAGTCTGCTGCTGCTTTTAGGGAGGCTTGCTTTATAAAGCACTCAGCGCCATCTCATGAAAGACATTACGTCAATGAATACAGTCACTATAAAGATAAGAAAATACTCTATTTATCACTTTACTTGGAAAATATTTCCTTTTCGATCATAAAAATTGTCAAAAAATTACTTTATATGTACAAAATATCAATAAATTAAACTAGTAGCTTCAAAGATTAGTTAGAAGGAACCTCTGATTTTTCACGTAAACATACCTTACTTCATATCAGGAGACAAAGAAAAGTAAAATCGTGCCACCTACTGAAGGGCAGGTTTAAGTGATAAACACAATAGGTTCAAAACTGCAGTGGTAGGTGTTCCAGGGAGTTACCCTCAAAAGACCGCATAGACTATTAGTATAGGCTGCACTGTCACTAGAATAAATTCTTTTGGACGAAACAATGTAACAGCTGAATACTACTGCAGATGGAACCCAGCACAGGAACAGCTACATATGTCACTGATGCTAAATAAAGATCACGCCTGTATAGGCAAAACCAGAGATACAGAAAATGGATAGTCTCTGTTTACTTCCCATCACTTTCTTTCAGGAAAATGGCTCAAAAAGTCTTCAGTATACTGCCAACCCTGACAAATGTATGGGTTACTTCTGGCTTGTAGTCATTTGTGCAATGCCTGTTGAATCAACAGTTATAGTGTGGATTCCCAGTAGCTGTACATTTTCACAATTCTACTGGAGTTCATTTCCTTCATTAGCCCCAGAGATCCTCAAGGTAAAAGAAAGAGAAATGGGGGGGAGGCAGGTTGGAAGCAATTCAAGAAGAAAAAAAAAAAAAAAATTCTGATTTTTTCAGGCAGAAATTATGTCTAATATTGTGGATTTGTAAGGAATACAAAGGAGTCCTGACCTAATTGGGAACCTGGAGTACATCAAAATAAATTACAGCAAAGTGATGAAGACAGAGACAGCATATGAAAAAAATGGCTCTCCTCTGGGAGCAAAAAGTGACTCTTGTCATTAGAAAATACATTCCTGATTAGTTAAGGACTTAAGACAATCAAGATTCTTTTACTGTTAATAAAGTCTGAGATTTTGTTTTCAAAGTTTCAGACTGATAGAGAAATGAAATCTGAGTAATTTTACTCCAGCTTAACAAAACAGTATACTGTGGTCCAAGAGTATTATGGAAAAAAACTTCTTCCCTATCTGTATGACTCATAGAAATCTACATAACTAAGATAAACTGCTTCAAAGTCTGATTTTCCTTTCATTATATACACCAATATCTTTACTACTTCGAGACAAAAATCTTATTTTTCCTTCTTATTTCCCTGGAATTTTACTTTTGAAGACACGGAGTTCCACAGAAACATTTCTGTTCACCTTCCATTTGCTGGATTAAAAACCCCAACAATTTACAAACATTAGATCAATTCTGAACTGACTGCCCTCTCAGAAAAATTTACATAGACAACCTAAGAGCTATATTTTAAACTCACAATCAGTAAGGATTAAATTCTTACCACAAGAAATTCAAAGTTAGAACTAGATTACCTCAAATACAGCTTCATCTCTGTAAGAAGGAAAGTTTTCCAGTACCAGGCGTAGCAGTTTCTGAGCACTTTTCTCACTCTTTTTAACACAGGTGAGGAAAGAGCCTCCAAACTTCTCTAACAGAACTGTTCCACTTTCATTCAGCACCCGATGTCTTTCTTCAATCAGAGGTATGGGCACTTCTGTGTCAGAGCGAAATACATGCCTAACTTGGTCAAGCGTCATGGTGGCAAAATACGATGCACTGGTAATAGGTGTTCCTTCAGAAAAGTAAAAATAAGAAGTTTAGGCTATCATAACATATCGCAAGACCCAATGCGGTGGTCTGCTATGGATGAGAAGGTTTATACAGTAAGACCGAAAGAGTCCGTCAGCCCTTAAAATCAACTGAGAGTTCAGTGATAACCGCATTCACACAGCTGCATAAAAACAAATTTGTGTTTGCACACAGTACTTCCTTCTACAGATAGGTAGGAAATTAATTAAAACTTCCACCTACACCTACAAATAGGTTTTATTTTCTTCTCTGATGACAGCAACACGAGCAAGCGCTGAAATACTGTCTTTGGAGGCGTACAGGTTGTCAGACTTACACTTCGGTACTAGATTAGTCCAGAGGATTCTCAGTTTAAGCCTCATTTTCTCATTTGTCACGGAAATACGCAATCTATCTCAAGAAAACAAGAGAAGTGAGGAAGGGCTGACTACGGACATACCTCGAAGCTTTTTGTTTGTTTGGGTTGGTTTTTTTTTACTTTTTCCTTAAGGCTGTGATTCCTACTTGGATCCTGCTCTTGGGTTTGTGGGAGGGGAAGGAGGCGGCACCGGGACCGCCCAG